GAGAGATGAATGGGAGCAAAATAGGAAGGGAATCTTGACCAGTAGTAGGAATGGGGTCAACCAAGGGGGGGGGTATCACTCTGATAGAGTAGGGGAGAGGTATAAGAGTTGGGACCATGGTAGACAAAAACACTGCAATATGATTGTAATTTTTGTAAGTTTTATTCATTGGTTAGTTTTTGTAATGTTAATCACATTTGAATTATATAATTAGGATTGAACATCATTAAGGGGTTTCCAGGTGGTGCAAACAGTCAAGTGCTCAACTACTAACTGAAAGGTTGGTGGCTTGAACCCACCCAGAAGCACTTGGAAGAAAGCCTGGAGATGTGCTTCCAAAAAGAGTCAGTCTTGAAAACCATATGGAGCACAGTTCTACTCTGCACACGTGGGGTCTCTGAGTCAGAATCAATGACTTTTTTTTTAATATCATTAAAGGTTTGGGGACAAAATTTGTAAGACTTCATTATAAAATTAATATTCTGATGATCCCCCAAGGATTGAATTTTGCATAACTTTGCCACACATTCTATTTTTAAGGTTTCAGGTATTTACTCAGACAGGGAGAACAGAGATGGAGGAGAAAGAGGCAGAAATATATGGAGGGACAATCAGAAAGATTGGGGAGAATGGGGCAAAACGAGAGGGGTTATAACAGAGTGGGGCCAAACACATGTAGGAGGAGAAATAGAAATAGGTGATAAACAGAGCAGGAGAGAACTCAAACTAAGACCAGTCTTCCTTTTGTGGTGGCTCTCTGCTCTTCTTGCCTTTGGAGGGCCTCCTGCTGCAGGAACTTCCCCTTGGCATGCAAGCCATCAATACATTGGCCTCAATAAATATTTTGTACAACACTGCTGTCTCCTAATTGTATCTTTTCCCTGCATCAGCCCCAAATTCCCTCAAACTCACTATAAAGGATGAATATGTGAAGTTCCTAGTTTATGTAAAAAAAAAAATTCCTCTTAATTATGTTCATTCTTAAGGGGAAATTTATGAACGAAGACATTGATCTTTTAAAATTATTTCACTGAGGGCTCCAAGCAGGGGGAAATAAATCATTATTCTGATCTTTGACATTTTCTTTTACTTCCTTTTATATGCTTAATGTTATTGTTAGGTGCTGTCAAGTGGATTTTTGACTCACAGCAACTCCACATGACAGAGTAGACTGCCCCATGGGGTTTTCTTGGCTGTAATCACTACAGGAGCAGATTGCCAGGTTATTGTCCTGTGGAGCCACTGGGTGGGTTCAAACTGCCAACCTTTTGGTTAGCAGCCAAACGTTTAACCATTGTGCCATGAGGGCTCCTTCTATATGCTTAATATATTTGTATTTTTTTACATGTATATCAAGGCCAATCCAAACCATGGGTCTTTAGGCACAAAAAAAGAGCATGTGGAAATACAACCATATGATATTCAAGAATGGCGATACAGCAGCATGAAGAATGTAATCAGGTACTGAATTATATATGTAAAAACTGTTAAACTGCTAGTGTTTTGTTACGTATATTTATACCACAATAATAGAATAGTGATGCAGGTGTTAGTGGGAGAGAATCTGAAATTGCCACTGTTTTGGTATTTTAACCATATAGAACTCCTAGGGGCAGAATACAGAAAGAAAAACTCGAGTGCAAATTATGTTCCCAAAAATTGTATGCTGTTTGATAACATGGAAAAGTTATAGATACCATTCAACCTTGAGAGCCTAACAACGTATTATTAGTACTTGTTATGAAGTCCCTCGGTGAGATAGGATATACTTGGGTTGTAGAAGGCACGATTCATCCATGTTTATGAAAAACTGATTATATTTTATTAAGACAGTAAAATGGTACCAAAACGCAATTTCAATGGTTAAATGTGAATCCTACATATGCATATGCTGATTTATCATGTAACTGTCCTCTGATAATTGCTTTTAGTTTCCAAAATGAGACTAATTCCATTAATCTGTGATATACAACAGCTACTTCCTTTCAAAGGAGACGGGGACCATCATTTCCCCTTGATTATTTTTATCACATATGCAGTCCCTGGTACCTATGATTCTGCTTCCATAAAAATGTTACACTTTAATGTCTTGGCCTGCTTTTTGTTTTGTGGTATCTTAGTCATCTAGTGCTGCTATAACAGAAATACCACATTTGGATGGCTTTAACAAAGAAATTTATTCTCAGTCTAGTAGGCTACAAGTCCAAAATCAGGGCACTGGCTCCAGAGGAAGGTCCTTGTCATCAGTCTTCCCTTGGTCTGGGAGCATCTCAGCAGAGGAACCTCAGGTCCAAAGGACACACTCTTCTCCTGGTGCTGCTTTCTTGGTATAAGGTCCCTATGTCTCTGCTCCCTTCTTTTATATCTCAAAAGACACTGGCGTGTCTACGGCCATACCACCCTGGACGCGCCCGATCTCGTCAAAAGACACTGGCGTAAGATCCTATCTAATCTTGTGGACCTCATCAATATAACTGCCGCTAATCCATCTTATTACATCATAGTGATAGCATTTACAACACAGGGAAATCACATCAGATGATAAAATGGTAGACAATCATACAATAATGGGAATCATGACCTAGCCAAGTTGACAGGTATTTTTAGGGGGACACAATTCAATCCATGACACATGGTCAGCTGGTAGAGTGTTCCTTCCAAATAATCATCAATGCCCCTCTATCACACCAACCAATCTGTAGAAGGGAGCCCTGGCTGTAGAAATTATGATGATTTAGATCATAATTTTGTGTATCTCCATCACTCCCCATGCTCACAAATTTATGTCTTAAAATTCAGCGTCCTTGTTTTTTTCCAGGTTGTTGTTCTTAGGTGCCATTGAGTTGGTTCTGACTCATAGGGACCCTATGTTCAACAGAACAAAACACTACGTGGTCCTGTGCTGTGCCCATGATCATTGTTATGCTTCAGCCCATTGTTGCAACAACTGTCAATCCATCTCGTTGAGGGTCTCCCTCTTTTTTTGCTGACCCTCTACTTCACCAAGCATGATGTCCTTCTCTAGGGACCAATCCCCATTCTGATAACATGTCCAAAGCATGTGAGACAAGTCTCATCATCCTTGCTTCTAAGGAGCATTCTGGCTGTACTTCTCCCATTTGTTCTTTTTTTTGGCAGTCCATAGTATACTCAATATTCTTCACCAACACCCTGTTACATGTATATAAAATAACCCCCACCAATAAATGAAGTAGGCACTTTAATCTTACCAATCCTTTCCCTAATACCATCATGGTGACACATAAAAAGCTTGTGATAATGCCATAACACCAACAGATTTCAAACTTCAGGTTAAATCAAGAGTAATGTAGCCTTTACAAAGATAACTGAAAATATTTTATAAAGTGAAGATAATTAGACTTTTCCACAGATGTCCTTGGCTCCACTAATACATGCGTGTTAAATGAGTTGATTTATAATTATTTGTGGAATTTAACATTAAGTTGGTTAACCTTTGAAAAGGATAAGAAACTTGGTTCCCCCAACTACAAATTCTCCAATGTTTAGTTCATTGTAAGAACTGGTAAGTCAATTTACTATATTCATTACACTTGTTAAGGTTTCTCTCCACTATGAATTCTTTGATGAATCCTGAGGTCAAAGGATTGATTGCTTAAAGGCCTTGCCCCATTCAAAACATTTACATTGTTTCTCTCCTGTATGAACTGTCATGACCACAAAGGTGTGAATATCTGATCAAATCTTAATATATTCATTATGTTTAAGTTTCCCTTGAGTGTGAACTCTGTGATGCACCATAAGTTTTTAAGTTTGGATAAAAGCCTTGACACCAACACTTACCTTTGTGTGCTCTCAAAAATGTACATTCTGATGGCTAGTAAGGTGTGAGCCCTGGTTAAATGCTTTGTCACAAACATTAGTTCTGTATGGTTTCTCTCTGCTACGGATTTTCTGATACTGAATAAGGCTTGAACACACTTTAATCGATTTATGGGATTGCTTATCTGTTTCTCTCCAGTATGAATTCTCTAATGATCCCCAAAGCTCAACGCACTGCCACATGTATTAGGCTTTTCAGTATGTATTTTCTGATGTCTAGTAAGGTTTCCAAATTGGGTAAAAACTTTGCCACATTCATTACATTTGTAGGGTTTCTCTCCAGTATGGATTTTCTTATGTCGAGTAAGGTTTGAACGCTCAGTAAAGGCTTTGCCACATTCACTGCATTTGTAAGGTTTTTCTCCAGTATGAATTCTCTCATGGCTCCAAAGGTGACAACGTTTGATAAAAGCCTTACCACATTTAGCACATTTGTAAGGTTTTTCTCCAGCATGAATTCTTTGATGTTCCACAAGACTTGAACTCTGAATAAATGCCTTGTTACATATATTACATTTGTGTGGTTTCTCTCCAGGGTGTATTTTCTGATGTCTAGTGAGGTTTGCAAATTGGGTAAAAGCTTTGCCACATTCATTACATTTGTAGGGTTTCTCTCCAGTATGGATTTTCTTATGCTGAGTAAGGTTTGAACGCTCAGTAAAGGCTTTGCCACATTCGCTGCATTTGTACGGTTTCTGTCCAGTATGAATTCGCTCGTGGCCCCGGAGGTGACAATGTCTGATAAAAGCCTTACCACATTTAGCACATTTGTAAGGCTTTTCTTCAGTATGAATTCTTTGACATTCCGCAAGACTTGAACTCTGAATAAATGCCTTGTCACATACATTACATTTGTGTGGTTTCTCACCAGGGTGTATATTCTGATGTCTAGTGAGGTGTGAGCATTGCTTAAAAGCTTTGCCACATTCATTACATTTGTAGGGTTTCTCTCCAGTATGGATTTTCTTATGTTGAGTAAGGTTTGAATTCTTGGTAAAGGCTTTGCCACATTCATCACATTTATAAGGTTTCTCTCCAGTATGAATTCTCTCATGGCCCTGGAGATTACAACGTTTGGTAAAAGCCTTACCACATTCAGCACATTTGTAAGGTTTTTCTCCAGTATGAATTCTTTGATGTTCCACAAGACTTGAACCATGGGTAAATGCCTTGTCACATACATTACATTTGTGTGGTTTCTCTCCAGGATGTACATTCTGATGTCTAGTGAGGTGTGAGCACTTTTTAAAAGCTTTGCCACATTCATTACATTTGTAAGGTTTCTCTCCAGTATGGATTTTTTTATGTTTAGTAAGGTTTGAACTCTCAGTAAAGGCTTTGCCACATTCATCACATTTGTAAGGTTTCTCTCCAGTATGAATTCTCTCATGGCCCTGGAGGTTACAACGTTTGGTAAAAGCCTTACCACATTCAGCACATTTGTAAGGTTTTTCTCCAGTATGAATTCTTTGATGTTCCACAAGACTTGAACTCTGAATAAATGTCTTGTCACATACATTACATTTGTGTGGTTTCTCTCCAGGGTGTATATTCTGATGTCTAGTGAGATGTGAACATTGCTTAAAAGCTTTGTGACATTCATTACATTTGTAGGGTTTCCCTCCAATATGGATTTTCTTATGTTTGGTAAGGTTTGAACTCTGGGTAAAGGCTTTGCCACATTCATTGCATTTGTAAGGTTTCTCTCCAGTATGAATTCTCTCATGGCCCCTGAGGTGACAATGTTTGATAAAAGCCTTACCACATTTAGCACATTTGTAAGGTTTTTCTCCAGTGTGAATTCTTTGATGTTCCACAAGACTTGAACTATGGGTAAATGCCTTGTCACATACATTACATTTGTGTGGTTTCTCTCCAGGGTGTATATTCTGATGTCTAGTGAGGTGTAAGAATAACTTAAAAGCTTTACCACATTCATTACATTTGTAAGGTTTCTCTCCACTATGGATTTTCTTATGTCGACTAAGGTTTGAACTGTCGGTAAAGGCTTTGCCACATTCATTGCATTTGTAAGGTTTCTCTCCAGTATGTATTCTCTCATGGCCCCGGAGGTTACAACGTTTGGTAAAAGCCTTACCACATTTAGCACATTTGTAAAGTTTTTCTCCAGTATGAATTCTTTGATGTTCCACAAGACTTGAACTCTGGATAAATGCTTTGTTACATATATTACATTTGTGTGGTTTCTCTCCAGGGTGTATATTCGGATGTCTAGTGAGATCTGAGTACTGTTTAAAGGTTTTGCCACACTCATTACACTTGTATGGTCTCTGTCCAGAATGAATTCTCTGATGATTACTGAAGTTTGAGGTTTTGCTAAAGGCTTTCCAACAGCCATTACATCTGTAAGGTTTTCCTCTAAGCTGTGTTCTCTGGGATTGTGTAGGTAATGAAGGATACATAAAAATGTTTCCATATTTATTACAAATGTTGGTTTTGACATTAGGAGGGATTCTTTGAAGTGATGAAACTGAGGAACCACTGTTGACAGACTTCTCAACTTGATTGCCTTGATACATTTTCTCTTCAGTTTGAAATCTCTGTAGTTCAGCCAAGTGTGACTGAAAGCTTAATCCAATTGTATTTACCAAACATTTTATATGCTTGTTTTCTCTGTAATCTATGTTATTTTTTACTTTTAATAAATTCCTTATAAATGGCTTCTCATGGTTGATGTACTGATATATGTTTTTTCCCACCCAAACACTCTGCTTTAGAGGAAAATTATCCCAGGATTTGCTGGGTCGTTGGTCTTCTCTACTAGTGAGATTTTTGTTCTGGGTTGTAGTCACTACTTTGTAATTTTTCTCATCATATCCCCACGGCCTTTCAAACTCATGCATATTTTCCCACACTTCCCTGGAGTCAAAATCATTGATGCCATGGCTTTCATGTCCTTTCAATATCACCATATGGAATAATGCTTCTTTATCAATAATCTCTATTGGTGGTAATTGCTTGATGACACATACAGCAGAGATATCTGAAAGATATAAAGAACCACAGGCACCCTATTAACTAGCGTTGGAAGATAAGTATTTTATATTGAAATATGTAATATTACACCAAAAGTAGTATTTATAATGAATGGAGTTATGAATCATCTCAACCATAGTCTTCAGACATTTAGGAACACAAAGACATTTATTGAGAATTCCTCAATAAACAAAGGGTGATAACATGTAATTCAACTTATTTTCAGGGAAGCCTCATTTCAAACACCCTATAACCAAGCCACTCACACTATATAAACTCACATACACTCTGAAAGCAAAATTTTTTTTCCACTGCCACCAAAAAGCACACAAGTGGCATAGATATACGGCTGTCTCGTCGTTTAAGTCAAATTATATTATACTAATGCACGTTGTTGTTAGACTCACAGCAACCCTATGTACTACAGAACGAAACACTGCCCAGTCCTGTGCATGCTCACAATCTTTGTTATGCTTGAGCCCATTGTTGCAGCCACTGTGTCAATCTATCTCATTAAGGGTCCTCCTCTTTTTCACTGACCCTCTACCAAGCATGATGTCTTTCTCCAGGGATTGATCCCTCCTGATAACATGTCCAAAGTATGTAAGACGTAGTCTTGCCATCCTTGCTTCTAAGGAGCATTCTGGCTGCACTTCTTCCAAGACATACTAATGCATACTGATACATAATTATTGTACACAAATGAGTGGTAAAGCACTAAACTTTATATTATAATGGTAAATAATCCTCAACACATTTACCTAATTAATAAGATAAATACATGGCAATTAGCAATTCAGAACTGTAAAATAAAAAATGCACTGGTAAAAATCAGGATGAATCTAATAAAATAGATTAACAAAATATTTTTCTGAATGTCGTTCTTGTTAGTTGCTGTCCAGTCAATTCCAACTCATGATGACCCCATGTGTTGCAGAACAGAACTGTGTTTCATAGGGTTTTCAAGTCTGTGACCTTTAAGAAGCAGATAACCAGGCCTGTCTTCCATGGTACCTCTGGGTGGTTCAACCTGCCAATCTTTCGGCTAGTAGTCGAGTGCTTAATTGTTTGCACCATCCATAAACTCCCTCTGAATAATTGTTATAAAATCATTATACCTATGCAAAATAAGCATTTTGCAACATTAACAATTGGTGTATAACAGTTATAATCTAGAGTAGATACTGAAAAACCATAAGCTGTAAATCATAATAAAAATTCATAACACAGTAACCTATTATAAATCCAGCAGGTAAAAAAATTATTTAAGAACAAAAAAAAAAACTTATATTCCAGAAGAAGCATAAATAGAAAAATTGGAAAATGTCTTGATATCACTAATGTTTGAAATATTAGGTCTAGGTAAATAAACAACATTGTAAGGATTAAGAATTGCAGAAGGCAGTTTGAAAATCACAATGATTTCCTGCCTACACTTATGTCACATCAGTAACTAGAACAGCTCCCTAACTGTGGGGGTAGGGACCCACTGCCATGGAGTTGACTCCTTTCCAACACATAGTGATCCTATAGGACAGAGTGGAACTGCCCCATAGGGTCTCCAAAGCTGTAATCTTTGTGAAAGTAGATCGCCACATCTTTCTCTCGCAGAGCAGCTGAGGGGTTCAAACTGTCGACCTTTCAGTTAGCTGCTGAGTACTTAATCACTGCACTACCTGGGCTCTTTCCCAACTGAGGAGTGCCCTTTAATCATCCAGTTCTTTGGCCACAAAACATAAGTAATACAGACTATGTGTTTGGAAATTTTGTTATCTAACATAAGAGACGCACCGATACGGAAGAAATTACAAAATGAAACATTCTGGATATAATGCAGGCAAAGGACAATCTGTTAATAAACATGACAGAAAGCTGACATCTCTTATTAAAGAAATGTAACTACTAAGTCCTAACTACATGCCACATCATATTTTAAGCCCTCTAACAGCATTCATTTGTTTAAATATCCCTGAGGAAAATTATTATAATTTTTCAGATTAAAACAATCAGCCCACAGGATTTATATACCCATCCCTAATTCACACTGAAAGGAGCCCTGGTGGTGCAAATGGTTAAGCACTGTCGTGAAATGAGTTCTTTTATGTGGCCTTTTGCCTTGGTTCTTTGGAAAAAAAACAGCATGAGAGATCTTTCCCCTGTGCTTTTCTATGCCAGAGCTTGATACTTTTATCCAGGTTGATTGACATTTCCTGGGTAAAATGTAAACAACCTGTGATTTGATACATTTTGTCTGGTCCTGGGCTGTAGCCTGCCCTGTGATTGGTATGCACTTTGCAGAGACTGGTCAATATACTATGCAAATGAAGTATCTGTGGCCTACCGAGAGGGAATTGGTCAGTTCATGGCCCTGGAGTGAGGGCCATGCCTTGAAATTGATGCAGAGTTTGTGTATATGTGTATATGTGCAGCCAACCCCACATAGGTTTTTCAGACAGCAAGAAGCAGAAGGAAGAAAAGACAAGCAGAGAGAGGTGCAAGGAACCTCCTAAAAGCCGTAACACAGGTCAAGGGCTGTAACACTCGTCAAGGGCTGTAACACTGAAGGTGATGATAGGCCCAGAAGGGGCCCAGTGGCAGATTCAGCAGTGACAGGCCCAGAAGAGGCCCTGTGGCAGTCATGGTGACAGACAGCAGGGCCAAGAGGAGCCTGTCCCAAGGGGGCGTAGAGAAGACCTGTCCTCCAGGGGCTGAGAGGAATCTGCATGGCCAAGAGGAGCTGAGAGAACTGTCCTGCACTGAAGAAGGGGAGAACTGTCCTGCACTGAAGAAGGGAGGCTTTGCCTACATGCTTTCTGATCCCGATCCCAAGTTATACTGTTACTTCCTTAATAAACGATTTAACTGTAAGTACGGTCTACGAGTTCTGTGTGATCATTGCAATGAATTATCAAACCCAGAAGTGAAGCAGAGAATGTTGTGGGAGGGACGGCTGATGTCAGAACTGGTTAAAAGGTTGGTCAGACACACCTCCACCTCATGGGAATCAGCTTTGTGCTGATGGTAATTCTCATCATTCCCCCTTGTGAATTTAGACAAGTTCTGATGCTACTACTACTTGCACCATTTTACAGTAGTCTGAAAGCTCCGCTAAACCTGTTCGACATCACGGCAACATGCAAGCCTCCACTGGCATACGAGTGATGGCTGTGCATGAGGTGCAGTAGCCAGGAACCTAACCGCAGGTCTCCTGCATGAAAGGCAAGATTTCTCCCATGAACTACCAATGCCCCCTAGCAAGTAGCATAATACTGACTCATTCTGTGGGAACAATATTATAAGCATTGGGTAAAAATGGAAGAGATTAAATAGAGAGGGAGTGTGATGTAATGGGAAGAATGCAACTTATGTCTAAGCCAGTATCTGCTCTGAAATACTTCAAACTGGACATCCCATTGGTTCCATTTATAGACAGATACTCGAGAGAATCCTACATTTATATTCCTGGAGACAAGTACACCAATGTTCTTAGTAGGACAAAATAGCAAAACTCTGGAGATGGCCATCAAGAAGAGGATGGATGTGCAGAACTCAAATTCTAGTAAGAAGACCAGACTTAATGGTCTGAGACTGGAGGAACCCCGGAAAGCATGCCCCCTGGATTCTCTATCAGCCCAGGACTAAAACAATTTCCAAGGCCAACTCTTCAGACAGGGATTGGACTGGACTGTGGGACATAAAGTGATAGTCGTGAGGAGTGTGCCTCTTAGGTCAAGTAGATACAAAACACTAAACGGGCAGCTTCTGTCCACAGGTGAGATAGGAAGGCAGAGAGGGTCAGGAGCTGGTTGAATGGACATGAGGAATCGGGTGGAAAGGAGTGTGCTGTCACAGTACAGTCAGAGTAATTAGGGTCACATAACTGTACAAATTTTTGTATGGGAAAAAAATTTAAAAAAAAGATGATGGATGAATTCACTCTGTACACCCACATGCAGATGTAATGAAACTCATCAACAGTACAGCAGTGGAGGGTGACCATGGGTGCAGAGTGAAGATCCACTGGTGGGGGGCAGAGAGTCTGTATGGAAAAAACAAAGAGGGGGTTTTTGCCAACGTCTAAGCTTTTTGGGGTTGTGATTACATTAGCTTAAGAAAAACTACATATGAACTAAATGATTAATTACATAATTTTCAAAAATAGAAATTTATCAGTTCTGGCATGTTAGACTTTTTGAGATCAAGTCTCCTTGTTTTTTGTTGTTATTTGTTTTTGTTTTTATAAAAATAATTCTTTCTTGACTCCTCTATTTGAAATCATATTTGGATTTCTTAACATAATCTTTGGCATATAAGAGACAAGGGGTGTTACGGATTGAATGGAATCCCCCAAAGATACGTGCTGTAAATCCTAACCCCTATACCTGTGTTTATAATCCCATTTGGGATGGATTTTCTTTGTTCTGTTCATGAGACAGTATCAGTGTAGGGTGTGTCTTGAGTCAATCTCTTTTGAGATATAAAAGGAGTAGATTAAGCAACGAAGCAAGGGAAGAGAGATGCCAAACCACATGAAGATCGCCCAGGAGCAGAAGCTCAAAAGAGACAAGGACCTTCCCCCACAGCCCACAGAGAGAAAGCCTTTCCCTAGAGCCAGTACCCTGATTTTAGACTTCTAGCCTCCTAAACAAGGAGGCTTGGTTGCACAGTGGTTAAGGCGCTTGGTTTCTAACTGAAATGTTTGCAGTTCAATTCCATCAGCCGCTCCAAGGGAAAAGTATGTGGCAGTCTGTTTCCATAAAGATTACAGCCTTGGAAACTCTATGAGGCAGTTCTACCATGTCCTATAGGGTCACTGTGAATCAGAAGCCACTCAACGACAGTGGTTTTGTTGTTATTGTTTAGCCTCCTAAACTGTGCAAAAATAAACTTGTTAAAGCCATCCACTCATGGTGTTTCTGTTATAGCAACACTAGATAACTAAGACAATATACCAGTATGTGCATGGTGAATCTAGATATGGAGTACAGTTATAATCAAATACAGGCC